CTCTTTTTGCCCAGTGAATCAATATCGCAATCCCTTCAATCTCCTTGTAGAAATTAAGTGTTTTTTTTTTCTCAAATAAAATAAAGTTATATTTGTAATGACTTTTGCAAATTGATTTATTGTTTTTTTAACTTTTAACTTTAAAAAAATCATAAATATACTTGGTTAGAAATAATATTTTACTTAATCAAAATTTTGTCAAAATTTTACTTTAATCAAGAATTAATTTTTTTAAGTTTTTACTTATAAATTCTAACTTATACTATCTCATTGTTTTTTTTTTAAAAAAAGAAGAAGTTATTTTGAATTATTTTTACGAAATATATTTCTAACTTAACTTATTCCTATCATAAGTTATTTATGTCAAATAACTTTTAAAATCGAAAAATTATTTTCATGAAGCATGGCAAACGAAGTCTAATACAACATTTTAAAAACAGTAAAACCCGACTGATGACTGCCACCATTGAGTGGCACTGCACCGTAATGATCATGTTCTTCGTTAGGAGTTCATGATGATTTGGTACGTAAGATATTTTGAAGCATTAACAAGTGTCTGTATTTACCAACCCAACCCAACCCTCATCGCTGAGTATTATGTCTGTCCACTTCTACCAACCATCATTTCATCGTTAGTCTGGGGTTTGACAATCAATTGTGATCACAAATTCATTCATGAAATAGTGGCAAACTGACCATTATTAAAAAAAATTGTCACTTCAATGCTGCCAATATATATGCCTTTCTCAACTAAAATTTTCATTTATTTCGAAAGAGAGAAAAAAAAAAAAAAGCCCCTTCCTTAGTTAAAACACATCTTCATGGCTCGACTAGTGGCAAATATAAGACCAAATGTCTACGTAAATCAAAATAAATGTTTATAAATTTGTCGATGTTTACACGAGCTTATATATATTATAAATAACATATCAACATATATTTTTCAATAATCTTAAAATACAATAACTCAAAATAGAGATCTTCGTTATTTTAAGTCACAAAAATCATCTACAAGCGAATCTATATTAAAAATTTCAGCAATTTCTTTTTCAATATACACTAACAAGTAATTAGAAAGAAAGTCATTTTTTTATCTTATTACAAAGCTTAATCTTGCTATGTTAATAGCTGAAAATGACCTCTCCGTAGTAATCATAGAAACCGAAAGAGTAAGAATAAATGTTATCACTTTATACACAAGTGGATAACTTTTAAATTTTTTATCTTCATGAGCCATTGACATAAATCAGATATAGTTCACAATGTTTCGAAATTAGAAAGCTTCCGTACATGAGCAAAATGCTCAAATTACATTCTTAATTGCAATATTTCATGATCGGCAAAGCCTCGAGGGTAAAATTTCTACACCAATTTACAAATGTCATCAATCCTAAATGATATGTGCATCTCTCTAGGATCTAAAACCAAACTAAGAATGTGTAGATCTTTCGTGTGATCATTGAATCTATTATTCAGTTCTTGTAATTAAAAATCTATCACAACATTGAATATATCAACTTTGTAAGGATGCTAAACCATAATTACATCTCGTTGATGACGAGCCCTTCCTTTTCTTACAACATAATGAGCACTTAAGTCTAGTATGGGTATGTTGATTGCTTCATAAAAAGATTTTGCTTTTGAAATTAATTCATTCCATCCTTTATCTCTTAATTTTTGAACGAGTAACTTAGTTAAAGAAACTAGAAGCATTGCATTCAAAATATCCCAAAATTAAAGTTGTAAAGCTTGACAAAGCAAATCAAATCTCTAAAATTTTTCCGATGAGATGCATAATGAAAAAAAATTCAAAAGAAGTTAATCCCTCCTAAGTTGCATCTCGTATCTTTAAGTTGACTAGTTGTAGCTTCATCTTCAATGATATTCAGTAAAATTTCACAAGTTGCATTAAACATATTCATTAAGCTAGAAACATATTTTAGATGAGAATCTAACGAGTATCCCTAACCTTTTGTAAACCACTAACATGATTAGGTCGAAGTGCCAACAATATTAATGATGGAGTTCAATTAGGTGAAAAAATGATGGATATGGATAACTTCTTTTGATGTAGCAACTAATGCCAACTCGTAAATGATGAGCTAATATGCAAAAGAGCATTCATTTGAAATAAAAACTTGTAACCCATTTCATTCCTCTCGCATATTGCTTGCACCATTATATCTCTCGTACTTTAGTATTCCGAACATCCGAGACTATAACAAAAGAGAACAGTAAAATATTTCATTTTTCAATATTAATGCAACGAATATCTTTTACATGAACGAGCCCAAAAAAAGGCTCTCGCACATATCCATTTTTGTTAACAAATCTCAAGACACTAGCTATTTGCTCATTTTTAGATTCGTCTCAAGGTTCATCAACAATTATATAAAATTCGCATCACCAATTTCTTCATGGATTGCATTCTTGACTTTAGTTGCCAAGAATTGCAAAATTTCTTTTTACACTCTTGGTGATGTGTATAAGGCATTTTGTGAAGCTTTACTCGAATACTTCGCTACTTTGTCATTGTAAGATCCCATAAAACTCAATAGTTCAAGAAAGTTTTCATGATTCATCATTGTTTTGGTCTCATCATGACTTCTAAATGCACATCCTTGAAATACAAGTCACCGAGTTACATCAATTGAAGCTTTCAATCGAAGTTGATCGTCCGTAATTTGCTAAGAAGTAAATTTCATAAAAATTTTCTCAATATGCAAAGGATGATTCATGAGATCCCGACATGTTTTCTTAGCATTTCGTAAGGAGAAGTGGGGTCTTTTCCATAATGCTCAAAGAATGCATAATTTTTTATCATTTTTTACTTTATTCCATGATCAAAATCCGCTAACAAGTGAATGCATTCGATCCATTTGGTGTGCAAAATAAATAGCATGATAGACAAAATACAGCATCTTTGGTCGGTGAATATTTTAGCCATGATGGAAATAATTTCAACCATGATGCTTGGAAACTACGAGGATGCTTTTTCCCAAATTTTGGATAATTTGAAAGCATATACCGATATGGACTAACATTAATATAGGCTCTTCGAACTTCATCACGTTTGTTAACATGATACTCACATATTTGTGGTTGTAATCCTAGATCATGCTCGGATGAATTGATATCAAATCCTTCTTTCTTTGATTTCAACTCTCCAAGATTTTGTAGGAGGATTTTCAGAATTTAAAGGATCGGGATCAATAGAAAAATTTAATTCCTCATTAGAGTTTGAAATGACAACATTCTTCCTTTTAAAGAATGCATTGATGGTATGTGACTTTTTCATCTACAATAAAAATAAATTATAAATATGAATATGCAACTTCTCAATTGCTATATGCAACAAATTAAAAATTCACTTACAATGCAAATAAGATATTCAAATTTTCAAACAAAATACATAAATAGACTACCACCCGTGTGTACTGGGAGCCACCCCCAAGCTCACTATATTTATCTAAAAATATTAAGGATTATAGTAGGACCAGCTATTGTGTTGCCAAGATTCAAAGCCATAAATTCAATAGATACCTTAATCATACAAGACAAAATTGAAAAGACAATCGATCTAATATTTTAATTATAAAATATTATGTAAAAAAGAAAATTAGGAGTTGTTAATATTCAATCCATATATAAAATGAAAAACTTAACAAATTAATAATGTAAACAATATAATAAGAGTTAATAAATTACTGATTTTTAAAGAAAATACCTATTGTGTTATCGAATAAGAGAAATCCTAATTAGAAAGAAGAATTTTATTTTATTTTATTTTATTATTATTATTATTATTATTTTTAATAGAATGAGAGTTAAGGGAAAGGGAAGAAGGAACGTATTTAACAGTAATTGGAGGTTGGGATCAAGTCAAATAACTATTAAGGGTTTAGTAGTGCCTGGTGGGAAATCGACGGGGAAAGGTTTGTCCAATAGTAGTATGAGAAAAAAAAAAAAAAAATCAGAGAGGGGCCCGAGCCCCTGTAGCAATCAATGTGTGTCCGCCATTGGCTCTAACCGCCTTAGAACTGTAGCTTCCTGGTTTATTCTCCAATTTGTAAAGAGTGTCCGTTTTGACTCTCGCAGCCTCCCACTGATTGAATCCTAAAACTAAATAGAGATGTGTAATGAGAATCGAGATAGAAAGCTTGCTTGTATTTCCACACAATCATGTCGTCTCCCCTCCGGTACCAGGCAATGAACTAGGAGAACTTCTCGGATGTGTCTCAAGATCATAGTGGCTTTCTAATTGCAATGTAGAGATTTGTATAGGGAAGGAATGAGAGAATCGAGATTTAGGCTTGGTATATAGAGCCAATTCTGTTGCAGTCCATGAACAACAAACCAGATAAACTCTGATGTTTGTTCCTGAAAGGTTTTTGATTGAAGGTCCACACTAGAATCTTGTTCTGTTCATGTCTAATAAATATTGTAGTGAATCTTCAGTTTCTAGCCAATGAACTCTTAAACAGTTTTGTGCCGAAGAAAAACATAACAATAATAATAGTCTGAGGTACGTATTGGCAGCTTTCAGGAGGATGAATAGGCTCGACAGCTACTTCGTTGTAATTTCTAATTGCCATGCAACATGAAGATTGTTTCCAGGAGAATTTGGACAGAAGCATAGACATACTAGCTATATCTAGCCTTTGACATAGAGAAAAATATCAGACAATTTAAATGTAAGATATTTATACTGTTTCTTCTAAATGAAAATATTCCACAATGAGCCTCATATTTAACAAAAACTTGGACCAAAATAAAATGAAAAAAATTGAACGAGGGTCTTCTGGGCATATAAAAAAACCGATAATGCAAGACAACAATCGGGAACTTTAATGAGCTGAAGCCTCATGAATAGACATGGGGAAATTCATGCCAGTTATTACAAAAAAGGCAAGATACAAACAATTTTTTCTTCCCACCTAAGCTAAATTCTATTGATTGGAAAGAACCAGAAAAGCATACCAAATGTAACTGGTCTAAACTCAAAGCTTACTGGCTCTATTGGAATTATTATTTGAGGCCATCCATTGTTTGCCCAGAGCAACAAGTTCCCCGTTACTTTTCCTTCTAACCTCTATTACCACTGATGTTATCCTTCCCTTGTCCCCTACAACGTTCGCCTCTAATTCAACTTCTTCCTGCCATAATAGTAGTAACATACATTTAGGAAGAGAAAATAAGAAGAAAAGAACTGAAGGAGCATATGCATTATTATTTTCACTCCAATCTACTTCTCCTAAAGTAAAGTTCATAGCTTTGGATGCTTCCTTTTGTCACACTGATAGAATTTCCTCCTAAGGTTTTGAAGATGAGACCAGGGACCCTTCCTGGTTGGAAGCACCTTATACTTGCAATTTCACAGGCCCCTTGGAGATACAAAGAATGAAAGGATAAGAATAGAGGAAATGGTATTCATTGAAGGGTTACAAGGAAAAAGCCGTAAAAATTTAACTTTTTCCACTAAGGGAAATAGAATTCTGGGAAAAACTAGTAAACACAACACATCATAAAGCATCTGCCATTTGAATTGGTATGCATATCATAGCTACTAATTGTTATGGAAAAATTTATGATTAGGAAAGGGAAAACTGTACTGATACACTTTCAACAAAACTCTGTTGTCTCTGATGCCTAAAAGTTATTTTGTCAAATAGATCATACTCCCTAGCGCCATTTCAATAATTTCCAACTCCCTGCATCGAAGCTTTCTTCTCTATGCCAAAAAAAAAAAAATTTGAAAATACTGTAAGCCTTTGATTACGTATTGGCCCAAACAATTTGTCAGCCTGGATGATTTGAGCGACAATTACCCCTCCATCTAGCAATTCATTCAATTTCCAACACAAGTAGAACTCAATTCTAGGAGATTTAGGATGTTAACTAATTTCTTCTACAGTCATGTCAAGTAAAAATATATGCATAAACAAAAAAAAAAAAAAAATTAAAAGAAAGAGTCTAAAAGACAAAGAAAGTGAACCTGTATCTTAGCCGTGGATAGAAAGGAAATGTTGAAATCAACAGATGCTTTGATAATGCCACCATAGGAGTAAATAGCAGCTGCACCCACATCATCAATCAACGTTGCCATGGCTCCAACATGCCAATTCCCAACAGCATCCTATCATAATAAGTATTACACATGGAACTCACAATATCAGTATATCAACTGAGAGAAAGGAAGAAAGAGCCCAAGTTACAAGGTAATTAAATAACTAACTGATATTCGGTTTGAAACGACAAAATTACAGAGTATAAAACCCTTATGTGCCTTGACTATTTTGAGACCTTCAAGAGCTATGGCCTCCAGTTGGTGGCCTAAACCATTTGATAGATCTTCAAGCCATTTATTGGAGCTCTGCACTGAATCGTCTTCCATCTCCCTTTGTTGTTGTCGTTGTTTTTTTTTTTTTTTTGGCTCCTTTGTCCTTCTTTGCTTGTTGAAAAATGATGTCCGTCTTCTTGTTTTATACTTACACCTAGGCTGGCTCCACAATGATTTTTTTTTGGTCAAAGCCTGGTTTGGGTGATTCGAAGATCCACTTGATCCTTGTACTTTTTTTCTTCGTGATTTTGATTCTTTAATTAATAGATTTTGCTTCATTGATGATATAGATATAATAGGATTATTATTATTATTTTATTTTTCATTGAAGTTAAAACAGAGTATTTGATTGGTGTATCGCCCATATTTTATTTTATATGCATTGCAAAGTATCACAAATTAAAAAAAAAAACCCAAAATTCTATATTTGATATGAAATGATCTAGTATTTTTTTCATTCATTTCCATCCAACCATTTTTTTTTTTTTTTGGGTTTGGGTATCGACACAGGATTCAATATGAATTTTCTTTTTAAGACAAAAATGGAGAATTCTTAAATCTAAATATTTTTTATGCATGTTTTTTTCTGTATCGATAATATCTTCTCCGATAAAAGATAATTTCAATTAATAAATAAATACATTGTAATAGAATACATAAAATATGATGATTGCATTGTATCTTGATTGGATCAAATAATTGTTCAAAATCGATTGAATTTATTTACAACATTGATTGAAACCTGACTGTATCTACTTGCAAACTTCATTATTCTGATCCAAAACTATTTCAAAAAGCATATTGCAGAGCAATTTTGTTGAAGATATCATCTATAATTTTCCCAACAGACGAAACACTGAAAATAATAATGCAAAATAAAAAATAGTATTTTTTTTTTTTAATAAATTATAAGTTCCAGACAATCACTTACAGTAATTCCTAGGAGAATCCTAGTGATAAAGTTTTGATCACAATAAATTAAACTTTTAGAAACAAATAGATGATTGCAGTTAGAATAAAAGATAAATAAATCTTGTAAGATGAAAAATATACAAATGAAATAAAGAAGACAAAAATAGTATTCAATGATGAATTTTTTTAGGAATAATAATAAAAGAAGATAATACTTGCAGGATTCCTTTATTCTTGATTTTGTCTGTAAAAGGTTCGCTTATTCTTTCTTGTCTCAATCTAATTCTTTAATGTATGATTTTTGTAATTATTATATTATTTCATTAATATTTTGGACTTACAATATTAAATATTACTGTTAGATTGACGTGTCAAGTAAATTTTTTTTTACTGAATGAAAATAAATGAATTTTAGAAAAAAAAGAAGATTATTTCCATTTTTTTTTCAAAATTCATTTATTTAGGATTAAGTTTTTTTTTTTTACTATTTATATAGCTTTTTTTTCAGTTTTTTAATTAATTTATTTTTTAAAATAAATCTTTTGACATGTGTTACAATCCTGTAGACTTAACAGTAAAATTCAATACTGCTAGCCCAAAACATTAGTGGAAGGACATTATAATAACAAGAATCAAACATTAAAGGATGAAATTAAAACAAAATAAAAATAGAAGAATCTTTTAAAAATAAAATAAAAAATAGAAGAACGTCTACAAACATTAATCCATAATAATAATAATAATAACAAAATCTTAACAAGAGGAGCTCTCTTCCTTGAGATCGAGAAAAAAGTAATTGCCAAGTCCTAGATTATCATTTTCTGTGTCATATGCCTGTTTTCGTAGTTAAAGTACTGGAACTCATGCTCAATTCGATTGGGTCATCAATGAAGACAAGCTATTAGACAAATAATTCAAGGCATTTTATTACGTGTGTGATTGTTTGGAATGCGATCCAGTGTTTCGTTGGAGTGGTAATTCCTGACGTGTACTTGCATGTGCAAGACATATATCGACTTTTTCTTACATGTCAAGAATTAACATTAATCGGAATGAAATTTGATAGAATGACTACATTAAAAAATTTTTAGAAAATAAAGACACCAGCTAAATAAAGGAATAAAGTAGAGGAACCACATTAAAGATAAGTCAAAAGTACAGGGACCAAATATACAACTAATCTTAGCTTTGGCTGGTATGAGTACTACTCATGGGTTCCCCAAGCAGACATTGCCGTCAGTTATAATAAGTTTTGTAATTGAGGAAAATTCCAAGTATGGAGTGGTTCGCTAGTGGCGTGACGAATTTAAAAAGAAAATGTCTGACTAATTGAAGAAAGTTTTTAACTCCATGCAAATTGGGAAAGAAAAATTAAACTTATCATCAGAAATGGGTTGATTTATAAAACATATCACTTACAAAATTGATTCTCGTCATAAAGGGAAAAAATGTATTGGAACTTTTGCTCACAAATTTCGATAATTGGCTTCCCTACGCTGAAAAGACTAATCATTTTGGAGAGAGAAAGAACAGAAGCTGAGTTAACATAATCAAGTTAAATTTACTTTGCGTACTGCTTTTATTGTCCTGATAGAAACAACCGAGAAACAAGGGTCTTATTTTTCCATAGATAATGATATCCATTTTACAACAAACCTCAATCCAGGTGGAAGAAATATCTCAATTGGGAGACGACATAGCATGGCATGGCATGCTGTCTTGACCTTGCATCTATTTTCCGTTCGAGTTAAAAGGGATAAAAATGCTACAATTTGCAAACCAAACAAAAAACTCTGGAAAGAAATGATGATGAGACCTGAGCCCATATTTGGTTCTAACCTGGTTCCAGTTCAATTGGCTGCACAAACTTGAGAGCCTAGAGATTGCGGCATCTTTTCCCAATTTCTGCAAAAGTGTAATGTCCTAAAATCAATTAGGATACGAGGGTAACGTCTAGCACAAGTACCATTTATTTGGTGCCAACCAATTTAATCAAACAGCAGCAGCAACTTGGGAGTCTACAGATTTCAGCACCTCTTCACCCATTTCCTTGCATCCTACTAATTTCTGTACAAATGTTGCCCACTAAAATCAATCAGAAAAAGAAGATACAGTATACAATAAATATCATGTTGTAATCATGAAAATGCAACTCTTCGCAAGAATTTCTTGGGGCCAAGGTAGAAAGAACTTGTCATTATTTAAATCTTCCTACAATTAATTATCTGCAGCAGCTTTTGTTGAAATGGGCACCTCAGGCACTTTTAGGAGCACAACACCATGTCTGCCTGATGCAGGACAGCTTTAGGGTCTGTTCTGGATCTGATTTGGGGGTTGTGTAGGGGTGTTTAAGTTTGTATTGAAGTGGGTTTTCTGCTGGAATATGAGGAAGTATATGGGTAGGATTCTAGGAGTCACACCTAGAGAGTAGAAAAATCCTAAGCTTCACACCTAGGGTTCTTAGGAGTCACACCTAAGGGAGATTGAGTCACACAATCAGAAGCAAATTGCTGGAAATTGTATTGCATACTGAATATTGAAAGAATACATGCTGAATTTGTAGAGTTGTAGAAGTCCAAATCCAATAAGGCCAAGGATTCCTAAACCTCCAACATAACTATTCCTATTTAGACTAGGTAAGCCTATAACTACTCCAATTTTAGAATAGGGAAACTAACTTTAGAATTAATAAAATACTTAAACAGAAATAATATAATTTCAAATTTTTCAACAGATCTAAAATTACTATAATGACCTAATCAATCACCCAAATTCCCAATTAGGGCTGCTGCACACGTCCCCCATCATCTCTCCCCGACTGAAAAGAACTCGACCCCGAGTTGAAGGTATGAAATTGGGTATGCAGATTGGGGTTAAGCTTTTACAACTCTTCCTCTGTAATCCAAGTGCAATTAGATAGAGATCGTCCTTTCCACTTGACTAGGAACTTTTGGTAGCCTCCAGTTCTAGTAGAGACCATTTGATAGTCAACAATGTCTTCAATCTCGTCTTTGTATTGTGGTGCTGGTGGCCATCTAGAAGCAACTGAATCAGCAATTGGGTCCTCATCATGACCACGATACAAAGTAAGATCTTCAACATTAAAAGTATTACTTATGCCCATGTCATCCGGTAGGTCTAGGACATAAGCATTGGAGCTAATTTTCTTCAAAACCTTGTAAGGTCCTGTACAGCGTGAGTGAAGCTTCTTAAATGCACCTTTAGGATACCTCTCAGGTCTGATCCGCACCATAACCATGTCACCTTCCTTAAACTCAACAAACCTTCTTCGCAAATCCACATGAGATTTGTAGCTTGTATTGCTAGAAGCAATCTTTCGACGAACATCATCATGTATGTCGTAAATATGTTTTGCAAAAGCTTCTACTTCTATACTAGGACGAGTGTCAATAGGCAAGGAAACCAAATCAATTGGTTTTCTTGGAAGCATACCTGTCACACTTTCAAAAGGACTGCGTCCAAGTACTTCGATTCACCGAACTATTATAAGCAAACTCAGCCATAGGAAGAACTCTATCCCAAGTAGAAACATGATCCCCAACACAACAATGAAGAAGATCACCCAAACTTCTATTAGTAACTTCCGTTTGTCCATCCGTTTGAGGATGAATAGAAGAAGAAAATTTCAGCTTTGTGTTAAACATCCTCCATAAAGAACGCCAAAAATAACTCACAAATTTCACGTCATGATCAAATACAATTGTCTTTGGCAACCCATGAAGTCTTAACAACTTCGTTAAAGAAAAGCATAGCAATATGGGCAGCATCGGATGTTTTTGAACAAGGGATAAAGTGAGCCATCTTTGAGTAATGATCCACAACCACAAAGATCGAATCATGGCCTCTTAAAGTTTTAGGTAAATCGAGAATAAAATCCATACTTCAATCTTGCCAAGGCTTATGAGGTATAGGTAAAGGCATATACAAACCCGTATTCTGTCTTCTTCCCTTAGAAATTTGACAAGTACGACATCTTGCAATAATCCGAGCAACATCACTTTTCATAATTGGCCAATAAAATCTATCCTCCACCATTGCAATGGTCTTATCTCTCGCCAAAGTGTCCCGCTGCACCTCCAACATGTAATTCACACACCATTTCTTCACAAAGAGATGTGTTA